TTTACCCCGCCATGGGGCCTTCCTGCTGACCTCATGAAGAAGGACAAAATGTCAGCGAGATTCACCGTGAGATCTGATGTGATGAAAACAGATGTGAAAAATCCAGACACTGCCCACATTGTGACTCCTGGAGAGAGCATGTGTGCCTTCGCACTCTTAAAATTAATATAAGCCAGGTACAATGGCATGTGTCTGTAATCTAGCTACCTGTGAGGCTGAGGCAGGATGATTGCTTGAGGCCAGGAGTTTGAGGCCACCCTGGTCAACATAGAGAGATCCAGTCTCTAAAACAATATTGAAAAATTTTTAAATTTAATACGTCTTGTAGGGTTTCTAAAATCTCAAAATAAATTCTTCCCTCTTTCCTACTGAAGAAGATAAATAACATTGAATTTCAAAATGTCTGAGTAACTGGCAAGAGTCATTCAAGTTCAAATTATTTGACATAGAAAAAAATACAGGAAACAATATGTTTCACATTGAAAGAGAACTAGTTCAGGGCTCACGTGGTTTTCTTCTGGTTCTATACATCCACATTAGGCTTAGCATCCCCACTGTGGGCTTTTCAAGTTAGTTTCATAAAGTTCCTTTTTTTTCCTTTGGTGCATTCAAATATTCCACCTTTATTTTAATTATTTGAGCAGTTATTACTAGTTTTATGTGTGTGAATTGACTTTTCCTGGCACTTGGATGACACAAGTATGTGTCAATAAATATAGAACCAAGACAGCTCTGCTCTGTCTGTTGCAATTTTACCTCATTACGTCCAGTAGCAATAAAAGTGAGGTGGTGACTGAGATGCCTGCAAGAGAGAAAGACTTTATCCATCCATTTATTTGTTCAACAAGCAATTACCAAGCTCCTACCATCTTCCAATCACTATGCCATAAAAAGGTGAGGAAGATAAATATGGTCTCTCATCTCATGGAACTTAGAGTGTAGCAAAGAAGACATTTATTTAATATATAAACATAAGTTTTGTACTTACACATAAAGTATTATGCATCTGTGTCAAGATCTAATCACAAAACAAAAACCACTTGTGTAACTAGAACAGAGGGAATTGGGAACTGGTTACACAAGTGATAAACAATTAAGAAACCCAGTGGAGGATGGTGAGGCCAGGCAGAGGCTAGCAACAGTGGGAAACCACCATTTTCCTTTCCACAGCCCAAAGGGATATAAGGAAGAGGCAATGTTATCAGAGCACAAGGGTCACGTCACCTGGCAGGAGCTGGAGCCACATTAGGAAACACAACTACTGTCAATTACCACACCAGTGAAAAGGAGATTGAGGAAAGCCTTGGCTTCCACTTTTCTCCACTCTCCAGTTTCTCTTCAATAGTTGTCATTGGTTGTAAAGCAACTTGCAGGGGAGTTCATTCTTTTTGCAAAATAGAGCAGAGCAGGACAGGGATTGGAGGGTAAATTGGCCCAGAATATACAACATGACAATCTAACCTAATATTGGGAATATCAGGGACAAAACCACTATTTATTCCTGACCATCATGTCAGCCTGGCTATGTAGCTACATAGTTAGAAATAGTTGCTGACAGTCTTAAGATATTCTTTCTTCTTTTCATTCAGACATAAACCTGAGTAATGGGAGGAAAAGAGAGAGGAAGTTCTAAAAATGGTATAGGCAGCCAAATGGAGGGTGGGCTTATTTTTTCTTTATAGCCAGGAGCTCAGTATAGAAGCGAATCGGAAACATAACAGGTATTGAAGTACTATTTTCAAAACCTCACAAGGTTTGTGTTCAAATTTTATCTTTTGCATTTATAAGCTTTGGGACCTCTAGCAAGTTCTTTAACCAAACTGAATTTAGTCTCCTCATCTGTAAAATGAGGTTAATAGTATCTACCTTGAGATGTATTATGGGGATTTCCATATAGCAGAGACATAGGGATGTCAAGTTGGATGGGATTAGGAGGTAAGGGCTTCAACTCACATTTGCACAGAAAACCAAATGCCCACTTTGTACTGCCACCAACTAGAGTTAATATATGTTAATGACTCGGATACATAGTAGGTGCTCAATAGTTACTTGTGTTATATTTCTAAGTCTGCCTAGAATATGATTTTCTAGGATGCAGAACTTCCTAAAATAGTTGTTAAAATGCAGGCTATACTTCATTAATCTTCTCTCTGTCGCCCAGGCTGGAGTGCAGTGGCACCATCTTGGCTCACTGCAAGCTCCGCCTCCTAGGTTCACGCCATTTTCCTGCCTCAGCCTCCCGAATAGCTGGGACTACAGGCGCCCGCCACCATGCGTGGATAATTTTTTTGTATTTTTTTAGTAGAGATGGGGTTTCACCATGTTAGCCAGGATGGTCTCGATCTCCTGACCTCATGATCCACCCACCTCGGCCTCCCAGAGTGCTGGGATTACAAGCTTGAGCCCCTGCACTCGGCCCATTAATTGATTGTTTAACTGGTAAGTCTGAAATAATTAAGTTGCTGAGAGCTACAATTATAAAAGATTGCTTCCTTCCTAACACACCTTCTTAGACTAGATATTAAAACTACTGTTTCCACAGCGGAACAAATAATTCATGGAAATAGAATGAGTTGTACAGTCAACTCAGCTGAATTCGTCAAGTGCCAGTTTAACTTTATAAATAGGAGCTTACTATAAGATTTTAAAAGTTATTCAGATAAGCAAATTTTAGAATAATGGTTGAAACAAAAGGACTGATTCAGTTAAGTTCTTCTCTGTGAGTCAGAAAGACTAAAGCTGTGAATAACACTAAATAAGACAGATGGATCAGGTGCGGTGGCTCATGCCTGTAATCCCAGCACTTTGGGAGGCCAAGGCGGGCAGATCACGAGGTCAAGAGATTGAGATCATCGTGGCCAACATGGTGAAACCCCGTCTCTACCAAAAATACAAAAATTAGCTGTGAGTGGTGGCACACACCTGTAGTCCCAGCTACTTGGGAGAATGAGGTGGGAGAATCACTTGAACCTGGGAGGCAGAGGTTGCAGTGAGCCGAGATCACGCCACTGCACTTTAGCTTGGGTGACAGAGTGAGACTACATCTCAAAAAAATAAAATAATAAAATAAAATAAAAAGCTGGGTCTGGTGGTGTGCACCTGTAATCTCAGCTATTTGGTAGGCTGAGGCAGCAGGATGCCACTGCAATGCAACCTGGACAACAGAGTGAGACCCTGTCTCAAAAAAAAAAAAAAAAAAAAAGAGAAAATCTACTAAAACTCAGTGAGAACACTAAGAATCTGGGAATCTGGATCATTTGAATCACAACCTGCTCCCTCTCTTCCTTCTTCCAACTCAGTATGAGAGAAATTTCACTTCAGACAAGCAGCCAAGGACAAGGGTTCCCTCCTGTCATAGCTGTCAGGCAAGGGGTAGATTTCCAGCATTTTTCAAATGCACCAGCTATGTTTTGCGGAGGCAAAATTTATCTGCTCATGAGAGGTCAGAGTCTCCCTTCTTCCATCCAGCCCCTACTTAGTGCAGAATCTCTACCATAGGTGTTGTGGCTGGCTGAGAAGACTGAGACCCTAATTGCTTTTGCCAGAGTTCATTTATAGGGTGAAGGTTCCACTTTCATGAGGAAAGCCAGGAGGACCAGAAGGTGCTGCCTCCATCTTGAATCCTCCTCTTAAAGGAAGGGTGTCATTCATAGCAAAATCCCTACCTTAAGCCCCATGGCTCGGAGATTTTTCTCTCAGGAAAAGAAGTAGGCCTTCAGAAAAGAGTTTCCCATTTCTCCACAAAGAACTAGCTTTAATCTGAACCAAGTGTAAGAAAGCTCAAGCTTAAGGGTGTTCTTTAAAACTGAGGTGTTGAAAGATGGTGAATGCAACAAATTAAAAAGTTGGCCAGCAAGTTTGCTAAAGAGAATAAATGATGAAAACAATACAGAAACTACCTCTAAAATGAGGCCAATAGTTTAACTGTGTCAAACTATGGAAAATTTATGCCCAAGGGCATCTTAAATATAAAAAGGCAATCAGCCACCAATTAAAGAAGGCTAACATCTGGGTGTGATGAAGGAAAGAAAGAGTCAAAGAGAGCACTGCTAAAGCTGCTCTCATCTCAGCTGAATGTTCCCATGCCCAAGGTTGTGCCCTTTAAGGAGCCACATCAAAGGCTTCCCACTAAAATAGTACCATCAGAAACCAAAGGAAAAAACAGGCAAATAATAACAAGCACCATGAAATGAGGGACAATTATATCCACAATTGCTACAATATATTATTTAAGTGTCTAGTTTTCAGAAAGAAATAAAAAAGACACATGAAAAGCAAAAAAATGTGTGACCCATACATACACACACACACTCTCACACTCACACACACACACACAGGGCTGCGTGTGGTGGCTTACGCCTGTAATCCCAGCACTTTGGGAGGCGAGGAGGGCAGATCACGAGGTCAGGAGATCCAGACCATCCTGGCTAACAGTGAAACCTCGTCTCTACTAAAAATACAAAAAAATTAGCCGGACATAGTGGCGGGAGCCTGTAGTCCCAGCTACTTGGGATGCTGAGGCAGGAGAATGGCCTGAACCCAGGAGGCGAAGCTTGCAGTGAGCCAAGATCTCACCACAGCACTCCAGCCTGGGCGACAGAGCAGGACTTTAAAAAAAAAAAAAAAAAGGCAGGCAATAGAAACTGAAAGGAGCTGGGCACATTCCTCAGCCCCGGGCTCAAAACTCCCTGCGCCTAGTACAAACACATCCCATCCTCCCATCCCACCACATATCGCCATATATCTCTCAAACTCCCTGAGCCCAGTACAAACACCACCTGGAAAGTCTCCGATAAGGAGACAGTCGTTCAAGGTTTTACTGAAAGCACGGGAATCAAAAGAATTTCTTTGTTCCCCTGTAACTCTCGGGCTATAAAAAGCAAATGCTCACATTGTTCGGGGCCCTCTTGTATGCTGTGGAATGGAGGGACCAGGTTCGAACTTGTAGTAAAGATCCTTGCTGCTTGGCTTTGACACTGGACTCTGGTGGTCTTCTTTGGGGAACAAACGGTCTGGGCATAACATCTGGGGGCTCGTCCGGGATTCCCCAAGCCCACCAGACCCCTGGTCAATGGATCTGCTAGGATCGATCTACTGATAGGTGAGCTGGCTCGTCTCCGTTTGTCTGTCTGTGTCTGTGTGTCTGTTCTGAATCTGAATCTGTGACTCAAGAGGTCTGAAACTGGAGCTGGCATAGTCCTGGCGGACGCGCTATAAGATGGCCAGCGGAGACTGGTGGGAGACGTCCCCTGGCTCTCCTCTGATCTAAATTGCGATCTGAACTGCCCTGGTCCCCGGGGCAGCAGCTTTGATCTGGGTCGCCCGAGCACGATCGCAACCCAGGCAGCTAACTCTGACCCGGGATTCCGGTGCGCGCTTGCGATCTGAACTGCCCCGGTCCCCGGGGCAGCAGCTGTCTTTGATCTGGGTCGCCCAAGCATGATCGTGACCCAGGCAGCTAACTCTGACCCGGGATTCCGGTGCGCGCTTGTGATCTGAACTGCCCCGGTTCCCGGGCTTCCGGTGCGCTTGTGGCCCCGGTTCCCGGGCTTCCGGTGCGCGCTTGCTGCCCCGGTTCCCGGGCTTCCAGCTTCCAGTGCGCACTTGCGGCCCCGGTTCTTGGGCTTCCAGTGTGCTTGCAGCCCTGGTTCCCGGGCTTCCGGTGTGTGCTTGCTGCCCCGGTTCCCGGGCTTCCGGCTTCCAGTGCGCGCTCGCGATCTGAACTGCCCTGGTTCCCGGGCTTCCGGCTTCCGGTGTGCGCTTGCTGCCCCAGTTCCCGGGCTTCCGGCTTCCGGTGCGCGCTCGCGATCTGAACTGCCCTGGTTCCTGGGCTGCCAAAGCGCGCCTGCGACTAGATATCATTAATAAGTCAGATCAGATTTCCTTTACAGGGATTCTAACCCACATTCCTTTACAGGAAGAGACTACAAATCATTACAGGATGGGTAATACCCAGAGCACTCCTCTATCTCTCCTTACAAGTAATTTCAAAGAAGTTAGAGCAAGGGGCCATGATCTTGGTATGGAAATCAGGAAAGGAAAGCTAATTACTCTGTGTCACTCCGAATGGCCTGCCTTTGATGTGGGGTGGCCACCCGAAGGGACCTTCCGACTTGCTGTCATCACTAGGGTAAAGTCCAAGATTTTCCTACCTGGGCGTGCGGGCCACTTAGATCAAATCCCATATATCCTCATATGGCAGGACCTTGTTGAAAACCCGCCTCCTTGGCTGTCCCCTTTCCAATTAGCCTCTGAACCCTGTAAGGCACTGGTTGCCCAACCACTAAAATCCAAGCAACCAACTGCCCCCCCCAATCCTGTTCTACCTGACAGCGGGGACCCACTGTTCGCAGAACCCCCTCCGTACCCCTCCGGGCCCCAGGCCCCAACCCCACGGGCTGAGCTGCGGGAGGGAGCAGGTGGACGGGAGGCGGCCGACACACACGGGCCCGCTGAAAGGGAAAGTAACTTTGAAGGGCCGACGGGGCGGATGCGAGGGCACACTTCGCGGACTAGCCCACCCCAGCCGCCTGACTCCACGGTGCTTTACCCCTTCGGGAAATAGGACCCCCAGATGACACAGGAATCCCCAGGCTCCAGTACTGGCCATTCTCCACCAGTGATCTGTATAACTGGAAGACTCAGAGTGCTCGGTTTTCAGACAACCCCAAAGATTTACTGGCTTTACTGGATAGTGTCATGTTCACCCACCAGCCCACTTGGGATGATTGTCAGCAGCTCCTCTGAATCTTGTTTACCACGGAAGAGCGAGAGAGAATACAGGTAGAAGCTAGAAAGCTGGTCCCGGGGGACGACGGTCAACCGACTGCCAACCCCGACCTCATAAACGCGACCTTTCCTCTGACCAGGCTGGCGTGGGACCACAACACGGCAGAAGGTAGGGGACGGCTACACCTTTATCGCCAGACTCTAATGGCAGGTCTCCGGGCAGCTGCTCGCAAGCCCACTAATTTGGCTAAAGTATATTCTATTCTGCAGGGAAAGACAGAGAGCCCAGCTACCTACTTAGAAAGATTAATGGAAGCTTTTAGACAGTACACCCCCATAGATCCAGAGGCTCCAGGAAGTCAGGCAGCTGTTGTAATGTCTTTTGTAAATCAGGCAGCCCCAGATATTAAAAGAAAACTCCAGAAATTAGAAGACTTGGAAGGAAAGCGGATTCAGGACCTCCTTCAGATAGCCCAGCGGGTTTACAATAACAGAGATACTCCAGAGGAAAGGCAATTTAAGGCCACTGAAAAAATGACCAAGGTCCTGGCAGCAGTGGTACAGAAAGAACATCTACAGCCAGAGGACACCCAACTTAGGCGGCCCCCCAGGCATGATAATCTGAGAAAAGACCAATGTGCCTACTGCAAGGAGGCTGGCCACTGGGTAAGAGACTGCCCCAAAAAGAAACAACGAGGACAGGGACCCCCTAGGTCTACACCGGTACTAGTCACTCAAGATGAAGACTAGGGAAGACGGGGTTCGGATCCCCTCCCCGAACCTAGGGTAACTTTGCAAGTGGAGGGGTCCCCAGTCCAGTTCTTGGTCGATACGGGAGCACAGCACTCAGTCTTAGTTAAAACTAATGGGAAATTATCCTCCAAGTCCTCGTGGGTACAAGGGGCCACAGGAGTTAAGAAATACCCATGGACAACACAAAGAACAGTAAACCTCGGAGCCAAGAATGTAACCCATTCTTTCCTGGTCATCCCTGAGAGCCCCTGTCCCCTATTGGGGAGAGACCTGCTAACTAAAATGGGAGCACAGATCCATTTCTTCCCTGAGGGGCCCGTCGTGACCAACTCCCACAATCGACCCGTGTCCGTCCTGACTATAACCCTAGAAGATGAGTACCGGCTCCACCAGGAGCAAGCAGCCCCTGACCAGGACATAGCAACCTGGCTCCAGCAATATTCAGAAGCTTGGGCGGAAACGGGGGGCTTAGGTCTAGCAAAACACCGTCCTGCCTTATTTGTTGAACTTAAGCCTGGGGCAGACCCCGTGCGGGTACGCCAATACCCGATGCCCCTAGAGGCCAAGAAAGGAATTGCCCCGCATATCCGCCGGCTCCTTGACCAAGGGGTCCTTCGCCCATGTCACTCACCCTGGAATACTCCATTGTTGCCGGTACGAAAACCTAATAGTGGAGAATACAGACCTGTACAAGACTTAAGAGAAATCAATAAGAGAGTTGTGGACATACATCCAACTGTGCCTAACCCGTATACCCTCCTGAGTACCCTAAACCCTAAACATCAATGGTACACTGTTTTAGATTTGAAAGATGCTTTCTTCAGTTTGCCTTTAGCCCCTCAGAGCCAAAAGCTCTTCGCCTTCAAGTGGAATGATCCTCATAGGGGCATAAGTGGCCAACTGACATGGACCAGACTGCCGCAGGGATTCAAAAACTCTCCTACCCTGTTCGATGAGGCCCTCCATGAAGACCTGGGTGAGTATCGACGCAAACACCCCGAAATAACCTTACTACAGTATGTTGATGACCTCCTAATTGCTGCTGAGACCCAAGAAGCTTGCAACCAAGAAACCAAGGGTCTCTTACAAGCTCTGGGAAATCTAGGCTACCGAGCCTCAGCAAAGAAAGCTCAAATCTGTAAGCCAGAGGTAACATATCTAGGGTACCTGCTTAAAGAAGGGCAGCGCTGGTTAACAGATGCCTGGAAACAAACTGTTCTGCAGATTCCCAGGCCGCAATCCACCCGACAAGTGAGGGAATTCCTGGGGTCGGTGGGGTTTTGCAGACTATGGATACTTGGGTTCGCAGAACTGGCTAAACCCTTATATCAGGCAACACGGGGGCAGCAGCCATTTAAGTGGACAGACGAAGCCGAGTCGGCTTTCCAACAGATTAAAACCGCCCTACTCTCCGCGCCTGCACTGGGACTACCTGATGTTACCAAGCCCTTCCACTTATACGTAGATGAGAATATGGGTGTCGCCAAGGCGGTAATAACTCAGAACTTAGGCCCGTGGCGGAGGCCAGTTGCCTACCTGTCAAAGAAGTTAGACCCAGTGGCTGCCGGGTGGCCCCCTTGTCTCTGAATGATTGCAGCCACGGCTCCGATGGTGCAAGATGCTGATAAACTTGTCATGGGGCAAGAATTGCGGGTCGTTACTCCACATGCCATCGAAGGTGTACTCAAACAGCCACCTAATCGATGGATGAGTAACGCCTGGCTCACCCACTACCAAGGACTACTACTAAATCCTCTCAGGATAACTTTCCTGCCCCCAACGACCTTAAACCCTGCCTCACTGCTGCCCAACCCGGACCTGGACGCCCCACTCCACGACTGCACCGAGATACTAGCTCAGGTGCACGGAGTTTGAGAAGACCTGCAGGACCGCCCACTTCCTGATGCCAACCTCGTCTGGTTCACTGATGGGAGCAGCTTCATGCATCAGGGCCAGAGGTACGCTGGAGCGGCAGTGACTTCAGAGACTGAGGTAATCTGGGCGGAACCCCTGCCCCCAGGGACATCGGCCCAGAAGGCCGAACTGATAGCGCTCACCCAAGCTCTTACCTTAGGGGCGGGGAAAAAGCTGACGGTATATACAGACAGCCGATATGCTTTTGCAATGGCGCATATACGTGGGGCCATTTACAGGGAATGAGGGTTACTGACGGCTGAAGGAAAAGAGATAAAAAACAAGCAAGAGATCCTAGCCCTGCTAACAGCCCTATGGAGGCCAGAAAAGTTAGCCATTGTGCATTGCCCAGGGCATCAGAAACTAACTACTCCAACTGCTCAAGGCAACTTTCTGGCAGACCAAACTGCAAAAAAGGTGGTGAAGGCTCCCAGCCAACTCCTTGCACTCCAGCTCCCTGACCCGGGCCCCCGGGACTTGCCATATCTCCCTGATTATTCAGAACAAGATCTCCAGTGGATTGACAAGCTTCCCCTGAAACAGATCCAGAATGCGTGGTGGACTGATACTAATGACCAAACCATCCTACCAGAAAAATTAGGACAACAAGTGTTAGAACACATCCACCGAACATATCAGACATACAGCCGAGACGGCCAGCAAAATTGTGACAAGTTGCAAAGTCTGCCAGCTTAACAACGCCTACCCCCAATCCCAGGCTGCAACGGGAACGAGGCTCAGGGGAACCAGGCCCGGTATCTACTGGGAAGTAGATTTTACTGAGATAAAGCCAGGAAAATACGGGTATCGGGACTTACTTGTCTTTGTAGATACTTTTTCAGGGTGGACTGAAGCATTCCCCACCAAAAAGGAAACTGCTCAGGTTGTAGCAAAGAAAATCCTGGAAGATATCCTCCCCAGGTATGGCTTCCCCGTCCAGATAGGGTCAGATAATGGGCCAGCCTTCGTCGCTAAGGTAAGTCAGGATTTGGCTTCCATCCTTGGGGCAAATTGGAAACTACATTGCGCTTACAGGCCCCAGAGTTCAGGACAGGTAGAGAGGATGAATCGGACCTTAAAGGAGACCTTAACTAAATTAACTATGTAGACTGGCGCTAATTGGGTGGTCCTTCTCCCCTACGCTCTGTTCCGGGCCCGTAATACCCCTTACAGACTGGGCCTTACCCCTTATGAAATTATGTATGGCAGACCCCCACCCTTAGTTCCCAGCCTAAAAGATGATCTGCTAAAGTCTGAAACAGAAAATGTCTCTGAACTCTTATTTTCCCTACAAGCCTTGCAGAAAATTCATCAAGAAATCTGGCCCAAGCTGAAGGAACTATATGAGACCGGTCCCCCGCCGACACCCCATCCGTACCAGCCGGGAGACTGGGTCCTGGTCAAGCGACACCGACAAGAGACCCTAGAACTCAGGTGGAAAGGACCACTCCAG